AATCAGCAAGCTGGAGGGACAGGCGTTGTGCCCGGCCATGTAGCAAGGACATCGATTATGCAGAAAATGGCTTGCTCTTCAGGAGGAAGAAGGAGGCCTTGATTCCTGGAGGGATTTGCTCATGAGTACACTTATTGAGCACTTACAGTTTACTGATTGTATAAGTTGCTGGGGGACGACTTTAAGAGACACAGACATGTCCCCTTCCCTCAAGGGACTCACTGACGGGTTAGTCAGTTACTGCTTTGTTTGGACCTTTCTGTACCTATCGAGTACGTTGTCTTCTCGGGAGTGAGCTACTCATTGTGTCCAGAGGAAAGCGTGATACCAATAATACTGCTGTGGCCTTAATTATAGTTTAAAAAAAAAAAAACCCCACTGTTGTCAAGTTGATGCTGACTCATAGCAACCCTACGGGACAGAGTAGAAGTGCTCCACAGGGTTTCCAGGGAGCGGCTGGTGGATTTGAACTGCTGACCTTTTGGTTACAAGCCAACTGCTTAACCACTGTGCCACCAGGGCTCCTCCCCGCTAACATTTAACCAGGGCAATTTGTGGGTAGTGACGGGTGAAGAGAGAGACTCTCGTCTCGGTGTGTCTTCTTTCTCTACTTCCTTTTGCTTTGACACAGATAACACCACCAGCCTCTTTCCAAAGGGGAACATTGTTTCTCTACTGGAATTTCCTGCCACGTACAGGGACGCCATTGAAGAGAGCTGCTGAAAGGGCATGGAAGTCATGAAAAAGAGTACTGATCGCCACGAGATCTCAGAAGAATTGACTTCTTGTGGAGGGAACTTAGGCCAACCACAGGAGAAAGGAGCTGCTGCTAGGTCTTGAGTTCTGGGTGAAGGTTACCCCCAAAGCGGAGGTGTCACTGGCTGCACCATCTCTGCATAAGTGGGGTGATTTGGATTTCTCCTTCGACTCCTAGAGAGGTGTTAAGAATAACAGAACCTAGTGTGGCCAGTGGGTCCCTGGGTGGCGCACGTGGTTTGCATTCAACTACTAACAAAAAAAGTTCATGGTTCGAACCCCCCCAGCATCTCCGTGGAAGAAAGGCCTGGCCATCTGCTACAGCAAAGAAAACTCTATGGAGAAGTTCACTCTGACGTACATGGGGTCGCCATGAGTCGGCATTGACTTGACAGCAACATGTTTGGTTTGGTTTAGTGAGGCCTGTCAGTCTGTGAGCCTTCGCCTTGGAGGGCAGCTAAGACTAAGGCTTTCTTCTCCTCCTGTGCTCAGAGAGGATCCACTGGTGAGACGAGACAGGCGGAGTGAGAAGGAAGGAGTGAGTAGGTTTTCCTGCGATGTGGTGGTAAGGCAGGGGGTGGGGAAGAAGACACTGATGTCCCAGTGTGAGTTCTAGTTGCTGGAGGATTCCTGCCTGCCACTCAAGGTGGAGACGGCGGCATCTTCTGCCAGGGAGGCCTCAGGCCTGGCTCGGGGTTACACTCCTGTTGATTCAGATTCTCCTGGGTGCTGGCAGCTCCTTGGCTGGGCAAGGCTGCCTGCTC